GAAAGTGGAGATGGATCGGGCATACAATGAGAATATGGTTTTGTGACATCACACGCCACGCCGTCAAGTGGAATCCAAATGGGAAACGACGAGTTGGGTATCTGAGCTGAGGGTGACATGGAGGAGATAGTGTGAATAAGAAATGAAAGCTTGTGGGCAGTGGTGAAGCCGGGTTGAAAAGGCTGTGGAGAAGAGAGTGAAATGGGGACGTGCTACTGAGGCTATATGTTTCACTAGGAACCCAAGGGACAAATAATAATAATAATTAGATGTAGTCTAGTTTTTCAGACTGATGTGCATCCTATACACACTGGGATTGGTGGAGTTGAGAAAGAAACTGGATCGTCACAGAGTTGGAGTAGGTGACCTCAGTTACACGCAGTGGTTATTCTATAACTGAATTCAAGAAACCCCTATGATAAATTAATCCCAGTTCACGTTTATACTTTGACTCACTTCGAATGCAGTTAGGCGACAGATTTGGAGTCGACACTGAGACCTTGTTAGCATGTCATTTTTGTACCTAAGTTGATAGTGCACTGTGGTTAAACCATTGGTAGTTCGTTTGAATTGTATTTTGACAAATATCTTCTTTGTACACTAGTACACACCCATATGATGAGGTATGTGTTTATTTCTCTTGCAGTCAACTTAGGACTTGGTATTATTGCATAACGATCTAATTTGCCACACATTATGTCAGTACATCAATCAGTTAGACATCAAGGTGAGAAATAGGGCAATCAGAAGGAAATTAGTTAAAGTGGTAGGAACTCATGAAGGAATGAAACTGATGAAATTCGGTACGATGATTAAGATGAAGATGATGTGCTCTTGCATCTGTGCTCTTGAGGTAATTTCCTATTTATATCACCTGGAGTCCTCAGCCACCGGTTTCGGTGAAGTCCACACTTTCTTACACGGCTCAGATCAACAATCAGACTGTCTAGGCTGTTGTCAGCCTTTATCCTATCCTTCCAGTGTAAACCTATCTCGGCTAACATTACGGTTGTGTTTTAAATACCACCTCATAGTGTTTTTTTCTTAATATATTACGGTAGATATTCCTTGCAGACATTGCTGACATTTCTCATTCAATTTATTGATGATGCTAAATAGATTAGAAAGCGAGCATATTTGTCTGGCACTCCAGGTTGAAGTTATTCAAGAGTATATGGTGATTATCTTCATCATTTCTGTAGCCTATTGATGTTCACTTGCGATTTTACCTCTGTTAAAATAACACTAATTACACTGCGTTTATATAAGTATGCATAATAATCTAACGAACAGGCGTTTGTAGACTTTCCTGATCGGTGAAACAAAACTTAGCAGTTAGTACGACTTATATTTTTTCAGACTATTAAACAATTAAGTCGAGGTGATTTTCAACATGGATTGAAATCAGATGACGAAGTATTGAGAAACTGAAAACACTTGGTAGCTGTTTCATCCTAGTTTGCAACTCCATAGCACTATTCATCCATGACCCATCGATAGGTCGAACCCAGTACCATCAAGTCTTGTGGCGAGCACGTTGCTACTCAACCTCTTAGTTAGGACTTAATGGTTTACTATTCATATTTTTGTCATTTCAAGGTATAGCATAGCAGTTACCCAGTAACATCGGTGAGTGTGTCCTGACATCCTAATTGATTCATTCCTTAGATAATGCGTTTAGGTGTTAATCAGCTTATGGATTCATATTCAAGTATTAAATGATGTATGCACTTGAACTGGAGAGAATTAAGTTGACCAGTATTCGAGAAAATCATTGTTTGGAGAGTTGACATGCTTAGCCTCATGGTATATTGACTCTTCAGATTTTGAGTTTGAGGATATAAACCTGTGAGCTTCTGTTAATCGTTTTCTAATTAACTTCCATGTTTGTTCAATCCTCTGTTGAATCTATCACTTAATGACAGCAACCAATACTTCTTTTGTTAGTCCATTCTAAGAGTTGACAGCTGGGACGTAGATACCAGTACTCCCTGTCTTTTCTACTTTCTTGATATGTCGTCCGAGTTGTTCCATTCGATTTTAGAGGGAAAGAAGGTTAAGATAAATCAGGTTCATGCATATGAATACTAACTGATATAATCTAATTGTTAAGTGGTTATATATATGTAATGATGTGTTTGTTGATTGCTTCTATGATAACGCTGATTGGATTAAGGCAGACTGAGAAACTCCTTGTTAACTGCAATGACTTAAATGGTTAACTTTCCGAACATAGTATACAAGGAGAATCGAAAAAAAATGGTTCAATGAGAAAGTAGGTAAAGGATAAAAAGATGTACAGTTTTTAGACTAAGATGAACATTAGACAGTTCTGTGTCAATTGCTTCATTCAATATACCATGTCACTGATGTGTAGGAGACTATTAACAGTTCTGTAATACTGAAAACTTTAGAAGTAATCTATACTTGTTATTATTTATCCCTTGGGTTCCTAATGAAACATAGGGCTTCAGTAGCACATTTCCATTCCACTCTGTTCTCTGAAATCTTTTGAACCTGTCTCCGTGACTGCCCACAAGCTTTCATTTCTTCCTCATATGATCTCCTCCATGTCACCCTCGGACGCTCGACTCGTTGCTTCCCATCTGGGTTCCACTCGAGAGACTGGCCTGACGCATTATGTCCCCAATCGACCTTCTCAGTGTATGCCCAATCCATCTTCACTTCCTTCTGCATATTTCTTTGGTGATAGGTTGTTGGTTGGTTCCTTGCCAGCTAGCCAGAGCTCCTTGTTGCTTATTCTTATTATTCTGGCCATCTGTAGTTTGTTGGAAATGCTTTTCGTAACGCGCCAAGCCTCTGAGTCATACAGAAGCACTGATTTGACGTTGGTGTTGAAAATCCGGATGTTGTTGACGCTTTATGCTGAGTGCAGAAGATCTTCACACTGGTTTTAGGCTAATGAACTCCTGTTTTGCTTTTCCGATCCTGGCTGCTTTGACGTCCTCGTCTGTTCCGCCACCTGTAGTTGAAATAGTGCTGCCTAGATAGGTGAAAGAGGCCATACGTGTGCCTACAAATTTTAGCTTGAAAATGTTCGACTATCTGTATATCGTGTACATAAACACATACTTTCAAGATATTTTACAGATATAGACTAGCAACTAGGAATACAATAAACCGTCATAGCTAAATGAAAGGCATATTATCTGAACGACTCTAAAGGCCACTTTAGTCAACTATTGAAAATGACTAGTTGGTTTTCTTGATTTGTCGTAAAAAGGCCTACCTGTTCAGCTGAAATAAAAACACGTGATCACCGAATCGACATCAATTAGAGAAGGATTAAAAACGTTGGAGAGCTACTTCATTCTCAGCAGTGCTTAACTACCACCCCGTTAGAGATCGAACGCAGCACCTTCATGTCACATTTTCCTACTTCTATCAATTCGTGATATAGCGTTACCTCCTTCCAATGTCATCGTTGAGTATTTGTCTTTATGTCCGACTCGATTTGCCCCACCAGTCATGACTTCTCAGTAAAACTTCCGGAAAATCTCATCTCGAAGCATCTTACTTATGAGCATTGGCGGAGTCATAGGTGCACACCGCCGAGAAGTCACATTCTAGCACGTAACAGCTGTTCATTGCTCTGAGATCTCCAGTGTTTCTCCAGCTGATGTGAGTTTGAAATGAATGCCAACTTGAAATCAATAAATCTTCACAAACCTCCACAAAAAAAATAGTATATAGCGAGTAATTCATAAGATGGTCTCCAGAGTCACCCTTACGTGTATATTTGAATTGACCGGTAACTAAGATCTAAACACTTTGTTAATTGTCAATCAGCTGTTTCTACTGGATCACTTAGTTGGATTGCTTAACTTATCCATCATATGCATATTTCTTAGCTGTTATACGTTCTTACTACTTACTAGGTTAGTTTACTCACGTATGTTGTTGTATGCATTTTCTTTACCTTTATACTTTTAGGTAAATTATTCTGTTATTGCTGACTAGTCGCTTAAATTACAGTAATCTATCCTTGTCGCTAAGTTGCCGGTTCTCAGTGGCACATTGTAAAGGTACGTAGAATTTGTGTAGAAAGGATCCTTGTTTCATTTCATGTGTTTGTTATTTCCTTTTTAATGATGTTTTGACTAATTGGTATAGAGAGTTGACTTTCAATCATATGTCGAAGGTCCTAACACCGCCCCTTCCACCGAGGTTTGGACAGCCTGGTAGTAGGTATTACTAGTCCTCACATAACACGTGTGAGTCATTGCTTACTGCATTGATGTGAACTAAGTTGCTGAGTGAACGAAAAACTCAACTTTCAACTAAGTGGGGTCACGGGTTCCAACTGTGCTCTATCTACCGAGGCTTGAACACCTAGACTGCATCATTGATCTTCACACAATAAGTGAGGCTCATCGCCTACTGCACAAGCATCCGTATGTGGTTTCTGAGTTGCATAATAATAGTGCCCTGCAGTGGAATCCTGGATGCGCGTTTCGTCCTGTTCAGGACTCATCAGCCGGACTTACCTCTTAGTGAGCATTGTTGTTCCCACTAGTACTGGAACTCCGGACCATTCGCTTCAAACACCGGAGCGTTATCCACGAGGGCACTTAGTCATGATATCCAATTCTTGTGCGACAGGCATCATTTTTTGACCACTATTGCTTATACTATCCCATCGTCCAGTGAACCGAATTGACCAGTCTCTACTGGCATATAGACTCCTATGCGTATGCCTCGATGTTTTCTACGTTTCAATTATATATTGATGGTGATGAATCCTAGAGGGAACAACATCGCCCACTGGAAAGCATGTATATCGGGCTGACGAGTCTCATATGGGACGAAATGCGCATCTCGGATTCTACTACCAGCTGCTATCCATCATTAATATATAGCTGAAACACAGGCAGTATGAAGGCATATACTAACGGAGACTAATCGATTCGGTCCAATCAACGATGGTATGATACAAGCAACAACAATAATATTTTAAACTTCTTTTTTCTTTCTTTTAGATTCCAGTTCTGTACACTTGGCAACATAATGCCTAATAAAAGTGATCAACCAAATTATTCAGATGGTGACAAATTATTTCAAAATGAAGCGGAACTTAAATCTATGATTATTAAACTGGTGCAATCTAATGATGTTCCAAATTTGAAATTGTTGTTTCAACTAGCCAATTCTACATCTTCTTTATCTTCTCCAGTCTCTTCGTCTTCATCTTCTACAACTACACGATGTCTGAGTAAACTTTTAGAGATTAAAGATGGTAAACAACGCAATTTAGTTCATATTGCTTGTAAATATGGACATAAGCAAATGCTTCAGTAAGTTTGTGAACCAACATAAACATTTTTTTACGGTATTCATTGACGATTCATTGTTTTTCTTATTTTATGATCCGTGTTTCTTCATCTTATCGATGAATGAAATTGATTAGCCTTTTTATGTTAATTAGACATCTTTATGCAGCTACTAACTACCTCTATATTTCTATCGTTTTATTTTGATATGATTATTTTCTTTTACTGGTGGCTAGGCTTGAGATTTAAGATGGATTTCTCACCAATGACTCATTGACTGAAAGCATAGCTGTCTGGTGTTTTAGGCGATGGATGGTGGTTTCCAGTTTCGTTTGGAACACTATTACTTACCAGAAGGTAGACATGTTCAATTGATAAGTGGGATGAAACAAAAGATTTTTCACTTTCGTAGATTATTTATCACACTGTAGATAAGCTACTTATTATGAATAAAAGTAGTTTAGTGCCGTAGTGTGAATTTAGTTGTATATGTTGTTCAGGTGCTTAACAACACTTTATTTATATATGAATACTGACCAGAAAATTTATCTCTTGCGTTTCTTACTTGATTATGAACAAACATTTGAGATGCAAGAATGTTTTAAAAAGGAATCAGGTTCTTCTTACCCATTGATACTTAAAGCTTTCCGTTGTTTTATGAAATTGAATTGATAGACAGGCACCTATACAGATGCCTCGATATTGCCTGAAGATTCGCTTTATTATAATTTGCTTGATAGGAGCTCTCAGTGGAGACATGGTCACACTTTCCTTACTGTTTTGTCTCTGTTCCATGTATGTACATTTTAGTGAGTGAAAGTATTCCTACTGTGATTCGAACCCAGCAATAAGTAATAGCAACTCATACCTGTTGCACAAGAGATGACCTTTGTGCCTCAGTAGTGTAATGGATAACACTCCAGCGTTTTGAGCTATGAGTGAAAGATGTGAGTTTCATTGGGAACACTGTCACTCGCTCGTATGCATATGGACCTAGCTGACGAATGGCTCGAAAAAGGGATGAAACGCGCATCCTGGATTACATCGCTAACCACCACTGAGCAAATTAGATATCTAGATAACTCACTCAGCTACCTTGTGCACATTCATGCAGTAAGCAGTGAGCCACACCAATTGCCTGAGGGCTAGTGATACTACCTGGCTGATCAAATCTCGATAGGTTGGGCGGGGTTCGAAGCCGTGACTCAGTGATTGATAGTCAGTTCCTTACATCACTGTGCCACAGGTTGTTCAACATCTACACAACATTAGCTTATAGCCTTTAATGAATGTGGTATCGCCTGTTTAGTTTCCTCTTGACAGTTTAAAATTTGACTCAGATTTACGTTAATTCACTTGATATATCTGCTTATCTTTTCAAGTTGTGCTGTTTTACACTAGCACTTCAGAGCGAAGTAATTTCGATAGTTAAAATGCATAAAACACAGAGGAAAGACTATGAAAATAAAGATATATGATATTACTATTGAGATGAAACTAAGGCGTGGATGCAACTACGTCACTACAACCGATTCTGAACTGTGAAGTTGCTTTTTTTCATACATGACTGAGACCATATGGACAACTGATACCACCTCTCTTGATGTGACTACCATTCGCTTCACTTTTCTTCAATTGTACATGTGATATCAAGGATTTGTATACAATAACTGACTACCACTGTTCATGGTGGTCTTAGATAGAAGAGGTAAGTAAGTTGATCAGACTGTAAGCCTTCAATGAGTAAGGTCGTTGAGGTGTGTATTAGAGTATGCCGAACCATCGTTTATCCTAACGTGCAATGTTAACTGAAGGTGGATCAGGTTGGAAAAAAGCTAAAGATAACCTTACCAAGACATTGCCTGCCTATGAAGTCGCTAGCTGATGGTAGGGTTTCACATTGGGTTTCATTAGGCAGTCGAAATCGATAATTCGACGTACAACGTGATATATTTCGGAATGGATCATTATGGCATTAATATATTCATGCCTTTTCTTTGCCACAATTTCTTCGTCTACTTTAATGCTTTTATAAATGAAATATATATTTATACTGGGTGATGATTGGAGATGAGATGAAAATCTGTACCGCGGTCGGATTCGAACCAGTGACTACCGGGTTACCGGCGCTGTGCTCTACCAACTGAGCTACAATGTCTGACTGCTGACCAGATTTTTTGTTTCACTTCACTCACCAAGGGTTTTACTCGACTAGCATGTGAATTCGTGATGCGTTACTACCACTTGGTCGTATTCTCTCTCACTGACTGCCTAGTCAGTTAGGACTTCTCATCCCAATGGAAATCTAACTGATACAGAGAGAGGGAGCATCATACTGGCTATCCTTTTGACTATCTGAGATAGTAACCATGGTTTGGCAGACTAGTATTCATACAGGGTGATGACTGAAGATGCGATGGAAATCTGGGCCGCGGCCGGATTCGAACCAGCGACCACCGAGTTACCGGCCCGACGCTCTACCAACTGAGCCACGAGGTCTGACCGCGGTCCAGATTTTCATCTCACTTTCAATCATCACTCACTATAAATACTAGTCGGCCAAACTACGGCCGATGATAAATACATATTCGTAAAATTATAACAAGGTAGAAGAATAAATCGCTGATATTTCACAACCTCATGGAAGTCGTTTCTTTGGAGAACACAACCTGTACAAGTTATCGCATGTTTAAATACTAAGTGGTGATAAATCAGATCATATTGTTCTTACATCATAATAATATGGGTATATAAATATCTTTGTTATCAGTTATTAGTCTGTGAGGTCAAGATGAAGATGTGAATATTTGTGTACATGTGCGATTGGGTGTGAATATTATTATTGATCATTATTGTTTTTTTCCTTGGGTTCCTAGTGGGACATAGGGCTTCAGTAGTAAGTCTCCATTCCACTCTGTTCTCTGCAATCTTTTGAACTTGTCGCCACGACTGCCTACAAGCTTTCATTTCTTCCTCACATGATCTCCTCCATGTCCCCCTCGGCACCGACGCCCAACTCGCTGTTTCCCACCTGGGTTCCACTCGAGTACCTGGCTGGCCTGGCACGTGATATCCCCAATCGGCCTTCTGAGTGTTTGCCCAATCCAATCCATCTCCACTTTCTTCTGCATATTTGTTGGGTGATAGGTTGTTGGTTGGTTCGTTGCTAGCCAGTCAGAGGTCTTTGTTGCTTCCTTATTCTTATTATTCTAGCCATCTGATCTTCAGTACTCAGCGTAGGTGGCAGCTGTTGATGAATGTCTGCAGGTTGTGAATATGTGAGCATAAAGTACTATTGCTGGCTAATTCGATTTGTTTGTGTGAACAAACTTTAGACATTACTACTGTGTCTAACCTGTCATTTCGGATATAATCTCTAAGTTGACTGGAAAGTTAGATATTCCATTCTGTTGACTGTGTCCATTCGGATTCAACATAATATAAAATGTCTCACCTGTACATCTTTCCTTTAACTTTGAAAATCATTTTTGAATAATTTTAATATTTCTAATGTCGATTTTGTAACTAAGATATATAGATAGATCGTTTGAATAGTAATTGGTGATCTGTTATGTAAATTCTCTAGTTCTACACAATTATTTATTGACTGTCTTGTGTGTATGTTCTTTAACACACAAATGGGATGATTCTTGAATTTAATAAACAACACAGTCGATAGAGCCTAATTTGTAGACAAAATTACGTGTAAAGATAAAAAGAATTTTATCATCTATGTGATATCCGTCATTTCTGATAGCCTGCTTCATTCGTTTAACTTGTCTAGTGATAAACAACTTTGCATAGGTATGCTCACGTTTTTAGTTAGATAGATAAATACCCATCATATTAGGGTAGATGAGCATATAAATAACATGAGAAGCTACATATCGGATCAACTTTTCATATCAGAACATCAAAGTGAAAGTCAACAATCAATCAATCAATCAATATCAACATAGGACCAGGCATTACTGAGTAACGGTCCGAGTTGCCACACCTCATATCACCACATCAAGTAAAAAGGCAGTGACGTCCAAGATAAAGATAAGAAAACGCAGTCAAAAGAAATATAAAGTACGAAAAGAGAGAAATGAAGGATGAGAAAGTGGTGAGATTCAATAAAACGTCGTTAATATGAAGACAATGTGTATATACATCTACACCACTCACATCGGTTCTGAGCAATGTGATCACCTAGAATCTCCAACCACTGGTTCCTCTTGTCCCACACACCCCAACCACCTAGTCTGCATTACCCCCGCACATTGGCTGAAACCAACAGTCAGAGACTTTTCATGCATTGGTGCCATGTTTTATTGTGGCCACCTCGGACATTTTTCCAGTCTGCACCTATTTCAGCCAACATTGTGTGACGAGGCAATCGGCGACAAGGCAGGCATGCGTAACGCGTGTCCCAGCTAACCATCTCAGTCGATGAGGGTTCATAACCTCGTCAACTGATTTACCTCCTCTCCCTAAAACTCTACTCCTGACTTCTGCATTACTCACGTGGTTCGGTGACACCACGGAATACAGCCTATACTACGAAGGCCACGGTGGTCAAATACCTGAAGCCAGTCTTCTCATGTCTTCCACCTTCAGTGGCCACGTTTCACAGTTATACAGTAGAACAGAGTGGACTGCTGTGCAGTACACACCAACCTTAATAGACAGTCGGATATCACAGTGTGCATTTGTGTGGTGAGAAATGCAAACATTTCCAAACATTCTCGAATTGCCACTGGAAGTGTTCAGAAGACTGTGTATCTTGTCAGCGTCTTCACGTAATACGACTATGTCATCTGCATATTCTAGGTCTAACGAAACTTTTCCTGTGATTAGGTGAACGTCTGTGTAATTAGGTGATGAGAGGGAGACCTCCATCAGAGTATCTATGATAAAATTGAATAAGAATGGAGAGAGTGGGCATCCTTGAAGGACACCACTCGATGAGGATAGCTCCCTGGACAACTCACCATAGGCTACAACACGCCCACAACTGTTCGAGTAGAGAGCTTTCAATAAGTTGATGTACTTACTCGGCACGCCTTTCAGTTGTAGACATTGCCATAAGACTTCTCGATCAACGGAGTCGAATCCTGTCGCCTTCAAGTCGAGAAATGCACCTAGTGTTGGGCGTCGGTAAGGGTGTCTATGTTCCAGAACCTGTCGCAGTGTGGATATTCGTTCGATACACCCGCGGCCGGGTCTAAAGCCTGTTTGGTTTTCTCGGGCTTGTTGTTTCCGAACTGCTCTCAGACGTCGAAGAATTATAGAACCTAGAATCTTAGACACTAAAAGCAACAAGTCAACAAGACGAAATGTACAAGATGTATATCGAAATCAGTAAGAATACGAGGTCAGCTGGTCAGCACCAAAATGTGATTTGGTATTACTGCATAACAGTCCATATTACCACACCTGATACCAGCGCATTAAGGGGTAAGGTAGTGAAGGAAGGAAGGAAGCACTCCAAGTGATAGAAGGATGGGGAAGATAACAAGAAGGAATGAAACAATAATGAGTTCCTGTATGACGATTAAAATGGGGATAATGTGCGCTTGTCTCTGTACCACTAACACACTGATTATGAACAATATCACCTAGAGCCGTCCAACCATCGGCCATGGTTTTCATAATTTTTGTTTATATTTCATTGCACTACTGAAACTAACAGTCAAAGACTTAATTGACTGATGTTGTGTTTCAGTCTTTCTGCCTTTGACTTTGTTCCAGCGTAACACCTACTGTGTGTTACATTCTGCGATGGGTCAGACGATGACGAAACATATGTAACATATATCACAGCCACCTGATAGCCCCAATAGATCGAATTTCCTCTTCTTCTTAAAACTTCACATCTGATATCTACACTACTAACGTGGCGGTATCGTAGCATATGAGCTATGCTATGTAGACAGTGGTGGTCGAACATATAAAGCCTTCTCATTTTTCTCTCCATTCAGTGGCCACGTTTTAGTACGCGAGAAGCACTGACTACAACCCCGAGACAAATAGAGAGAAGATCGAAGCTGAAGCTGAAGAAGATGGAAGAGTTTATTACTCCGGGAATATAACAATCAATCGATCAATCCAAAACACGTGAATATGTGTACACATAAAATATGACCTTGTCCGCAATTGGAGAAAACATTAACCAATCAGCGAATTACATTACAATGAGGGCAGAAATTAAACTACCAGTCATACAGTAAAATGATGTGAGAATGCCAAGTTAAAAATGTTTAGATAGATAACGATATTTTATACAAAACTGGTGCCTTACAACGCTAGAGATACATATGTGTGTATTATGGCTATATGACAAAAAAAATGTCCAACTACCAATATTAACTGGTCTCACGGTCTCCAAGCCTCCCCATCATAATTGCTATGTAGATACTTCTAAATAGATGGAAGTATTTTTCTATCATTCCATCGTGAAAATATTATATTTATCTTTGGTGTTTTTCACTTAACACTGCACTTTTATCTTCTTTACTTTCGATACTTTTCGTGTCATTTTGTTGATGGGTGTAAAAATATTCAGATACTTAATACACGATCTAGGATTATCAGTTACAAATGTTGATCAAGCTGGAAATAATTCTGCTCATCTTGTATTGGTTCATGCACTGAAATCACTGAAACCGAGTCATAAGAAGAAAAGACGGAGGATTAAAAATTGTCCTGTAAGAAATTACATTGATTGTAGGTCAAAATAAATTCCTTGTATTTATCTAATCTATGCATATTGTTAAACTTTTGGTTTTATTTCTAATGCGCTTAAGATGGTGAATTAGAATTCTATTCGCCTATTTCTTTTTGTCGAACCTTCTAGGGTGTATGGAACGTTGTGGTGTCAGTCACTCTCACAAATCTGTCAGCACTCAAGCTCCACCAGTTCTCTGTCAACCTCCTACATATTTACCTTCTAATCTTCCTTCATTTCTCTCATCGTCTGTTATTTCTTCCTGCTCTGCAGCTTTCAACAACGATCTGAGTTCATAGGAGAGGACCTACGGTCTCCTGAAACCACACTCCGAATTACACATTGAAGCTTTCAATGTCCATATTCTCTGACAAGTCAGCCAACAAGCTTCAGTAACCAAAACCCTAACAATTTGGACCATGGATGTATGCTATGCCTGTGAAACACCTATACACGGTGAAAATGTGAATATTCACGTAATCTCACCCGACCAATATGGTGAATCTGCGAAATTCGCCCTTCGAGTTTCATTGGACAGTTCTCGAGATCTTGCAAGTGTAGGTGTAGGATTCAGCAATAAGGCAGAAAGTTCTCCATTAGACTGTATCGCAGTTGACAGTTTCCTATGCGCTAGTCTCCAGTTATTACTTCATTGGCTGCTATCTACTAGAAGCCTGAATGGGACGTCGAGGATAGGACCACCGACACTTGGAGAAGTCGGGAAGATGGTAGCTAACCTGGAACGGGGAAGAGCAGCATGTCCAAACAGACTAGTTCCACGGATACTTAAGGACAGTAGTCAAGAATTTTCATTCAGGTTAGTTGAAGTGTTAACTAGTATGTGGGAGTCAGATACGAGGCCTACTGTCTGGTCTCCCTCATTAATTGTCCCGTTCTTCAAGAAAGACTAAAATCCCTCCTGGGAAAATCACACAGGAATCAGCCTGACGAACAGTGTCTACGATTTTAGGTTCTATTATCATTAGATATCTGAATGTAGTTCGTGAGCTGAAAATGCGAGGAAACCAGGCAGGCTTCAAACCTGACAGTAGGTGTATTGACCAGATATAAAACGTCTACCAGGTTCTGGAATACAGTTTATCAACCTTCATTGAACAAGATGGCTGGGACATGTGTTATGCATGCTTAGTCACCGTCTACCTCGTCACCCATTGCTGGCTAGAAAAAGGCTCGGGGTGACCAGACTAAAGCATAGCATCACTTCACGAAGTCCTTGACTGTTGGTTTGAGCCATGTAGGAGGGAGATGCTGTCTAGCCGGACAAGAGAAACCAGTGGTTGGAGACTCTAGATGATATGGCTTCAGAATCGATGTCAACAACGCAGATGTATACACATATTATCCCCATCTCATTCTTCCCTTTTCTCTTTTACTACTTTCTATTTCTTTTGACCGGTTTTCTTTCCCTCCTCCATCTTCAGTTTTATTGCCTTGTTACTTATTGTGCTGATAGAAGAGGTGGTAACTTGAACCGTTGTGCAGGGATGCCTACTTCTATGCTGATATTGACTAATTTCTTTTTGTCAACCTGAATGTTAAAGTGAAGCATTCACAACACCATTAATTGTGATCGAGATCCCTTTAGACAACATGAAGAAGTTCTAGATATTTGGTTATCATGGTTTTCTTGTGTATTGTTAACACCACTGGGATTTGACAGTGTTGTTACTAGCAAAATTGCATCATCTGAAATCAGCCAGTGGTTAGAGAAAAGATAGTGTTATATTTTCGCAAGACAACAGTTATATATTTTCCGAACGAAAATAATACGCATGCTTAGCTGACAGCTAACTTAGTACGCACGAACCACTGACTGCAACCCCGGGATGAATAGAGAGAAGATCGAAGCTGGATGATGGGAGAGTTTATTACTTTGAGAATATAATAATCATCAGTCCCACGCATGAAAATAACCTTGTCCCCCGTTTGAGACGTTGGCATAGTAACAGTAAAGATTAACCAATCAGCGATTTACATTACAATGGGGGTAGAAAATAGTCTACTAATCAAACCGTAGAAAAAATGGTGTGAGAATGACACGTTAAAATGTTCAGACCAGTAATAATGCTTTATACAAAACTGAGGCATCACCACAATAGATAGTTAGACATCTATCTATCTGATAAGTTTGATCATTGGTCAACTTGAGTAGGATTAATTTTACATTGATTGGTCACTGGAGGACAACCAACTTCATGTTGTCCAGTCGTAAGTACTGATTGAAGTTGGTTACCCTCAAGTGATCAATCACTATATCTAACCCACCCCTACAGGCGGTCAGTCGCGACCCGGATAGCTGAGTGGTAACGTCGCCGACTACAACACAGTGACGCAGATTCGAACCTCAGGTGGGACATTAGTCTCGTCAAAGTTGCAGGTACTCCCTACTGACGAATGCTGACAAGCACGAAACCTAGGTCAAGCAGGGCTTCCCTCGGACTCCCTCTATCCGGCTAGTATGGTCTGACTTTAACTATCTATATCTGTTTTCTAGTTTCATGTCTTTTTTTTAAGATTGTGTTTCTAGTCACTTTTTTTTACAACTTCCAAGTTGATTTCGTCTGCATAGTTTAAAAGCAAAGAGACTTGTATAACTATATTATTGCATCGAATAGCTTTTTTCTTATCTTAGTCGATTACCAGGGACTATTAACACCTCTGTATCTTCAGACTTTTATATTCTCAGACTAAATTAACTCGGGATAGTAGTATCTTTGGATATTTGGACCTATCTCTCTATTCACTTTTCAGGTTTGTGGGAAATTTATTGATTTCAGGTTGGTATTTTTCCTGGACTGACATTAGTTGGAGGAACATTGGAAACCTGAACTGACAGAAGTAGGAACTATGAACCATTGGATTCTGACCCATTGCTGAGCGTAGGATCTTAAGGTTCTGGGTTCGGTCCCCGGTGGGGTCATGGATTCATACTGCTGATGAGTCCCATGTTAGAAGGAAGCAGCTAACCAGTGTTCCCAGCTTTCCGATGTTTCTCCAGCTAATGTCAGTCCATATCGAGTGTCAACCTTTTCCTGAGAGAGAGAGAGGGAAACAATGTGGCGAAATTTCGTCAACTTATCGATTTTCTCTTCAATCTTCTTCGTAACTCTTGCTGCACAAACCATTTGACACATATAAGATTTCTATAAAGTTAGTGTTGGTTATTTAGCCTAGAGTGACGATAATAAAAGTCTACGATCAAATATAACAGCTCAGAAAAAACACTAAAGGATTTCTATCCTCATCCTGAGCTACAAACTCTCTCTATAAGCTCATTTATAAGGTCATTGGAGCCGTGGTTCAGTGGTTTCAAGAGGTAAGTATGAGCCATTAGGTCAAGGGTTCGAGCCCCACTCAACCTACGGAGGTTCAAACAAGTAGGTAGTATCACTAGCTCTTACACAACAGGTGTGACTCACTATCTACTGCCATGGATATGCACAAGGTGGCTGAATGTTGTGAAACATGTGGGACTTTCGACGTGTACTAATTAAGCCAGCAGTAACAGCCTACCTTGAATTTGCTTACACTACAGAAGGTTGTCCCTAGCACACTTAAGAATCACTTGCCGATTGGAGAAGGTGATTAGTATTTCAACAGGAAAGAATATTCTTCTCTCAGTGATTTGAACAACTGGTTATTCAGAATTTTAGCCGTAGTCTTACGCATTAGATCATCATTCATAAATATAGTCTACTTCGGAATTGTATGAATGTGCTCGATATCTCTTTAATTCTTTTCTCTCGATAAATCTAACCTTCTTCTATTTTATAGGTTGTGAATTGCTAAAAATTATTCTACACAAGCACTCAAATCTTCTTATGATATCTAATAAACGAGGACAAAAGGTTACTGATCTATTACAGGTATTATGGAATCATTCATCAGAATGTGAACGAGAAATTGGAGATAATGTAAGTGTTTTTTCTTGTCCCACAATATCTTTCTTTTAAAGAATTATAACTGTCTAACTCTTCTACTTGGGAAAATGATCATCATCATTATCAACATAGGACCAGGCATTACTGCGTAACGGTCCGATTTGCCACACCTCATATCACCACATCAAGTAAAAAGGTAGAGAGGTGAAGGATGAAGATAAGTGAATGCAGTCAAAAGAAATATAAAGTACGAGAAGAAAGGAAAGAGGAGTGACAAAATGGTGAGATTCGGTATAGTGTTGTTAAGATGAGGATAATGTGTGTATACATCTACACCACTCACATCGGTTCTGAGCCATATCACCTAGGGTCTCCAACCACTGGTTCCTCTTCTCCCACACACCTCAACCACCTAGTCTGCATCACCCCCGCACATTGGCTGAAACCAACAGTCAGAGACTTTTCATGCATTGGTGCCATGTTTTATTGTGGCCACCTCGGACATTTTTCCAGTCTGCACCTATTTCAGCCAACATTGTGTGACGAGGCAATCGGCGACAAGGCAGGCATGCGTAACGCGTGTCCCAGCTAACCATCTCAGTCGATGAGGGTTCATAACCTCGTCAACTGATTTACCTCCTCTCCCTAAAACTCTACTCCTGACTTCTGCATTACTCACGTGGTTCGGTGACACCACGGAATACGGCCTATACTACGAAGGCCATGATGGTCAAATACCTGAAGCCAGTCTTCTCATGTCTTCCACCTTCAGTGGCCATGTTTCACAGTTATACAGTAGAACAGAGTGGACTGCTGTGCAGTACACACCAACCTTAATAGACAGTCGGATATCACAGTGGCTCCACAGGTGGTGTAAATTGGCAAAAGCCAATCGAGCCTTTTGTATCTGTGCAGAAATCTCATCGGCAACTAACCCACCAGGGTTGATCCTACTTCTCAGGTAAGTGAAGTGGTCAACACACTGCACCACTTCACTGTGCATTGTTAGCCACAGTGGGGCACCGTTGAAGACCAATCCTGGAGTAACAATGTGCATTTGTGTGGTGAGAAATGCAAACATTTCCAAACATTCTCGAATTGCCACTGGAAGTGTTCAGAAGACTGTGTATCTTGTCATCGTCTTCACCTAATAGGACCATGTCATGAATCAGATGAATAAGTCTAATATGGAGTTAAATTCTATTATGGTGCCCAAGTTTCTCACCTATATTCAGAGCACTTTTATTCGAGGATGATTTATCATTCTTAAAACTGATGTATAACGTAGAATTACATTTGATAACCGTTATCTTCAGTGTATCATTGATAACTCTTGATATATATTTTCTGAGAGGATATAATAAGCATCTTTAACTGACAGTCAACTTTATACACAAGACCGACGGATTCCAACTCGAAACAAATAGTAGTCTAAACTGGATGGAAGAATTTATTCCTCCGAGAATTCATAATCAATTAATCCAAACACACTTGAGTATGTATGAACATGAGATATGACCTTGTCTAGAAAGTGAAACATTAACGTAGTAAAAGTAAGCGAATTACCTTGAAAATGGTGGCAGAAAATGAACTAGCGTTCTCGCCATAAAAAATTGTATGAAAAAGGACAGTTCAAATAAAGACTAATAAACTATGTTTTATGCAAAACTGAGACTTTTCAGCAATTGTAGTTTGATTATTGAAGCATTTATCGTTCAAAAAAACAAAAATAATGTCTATATGCAACACTCAACAACTATTTGTATGTACTTGATACTTGTAATTTCCCGTTCTTATATAGGGCCAAATTGCTTGACTTCTATTGGCAGATGGTCTCCTATGCAGATACCTTGATACTGCCAAATATTCATTATGTTAAATTGATCTTGGTGACTAGCAAAAGAATCTAGGACGCGCGTTTCGACCTACTCGTGATTCTTCAGCTAGATGTACCTGCACCCCAATGAGTGTTGTTGTCTCCAGCGAGCTTCGAACCCAGTACCCTTCGCTTCAAACGCTAGACCGTTATCACCTAAGCCACTGGGGTACGACAGTCACCTCTTGTACAAACGGATATCAGTTGTTGTTACAACATGGTTATATCTACTGCTTGATATTGCCGGGTTTCACTCATCAGTAATTGAAATAAAGTTAATAATTCATAGTCATCAACTGACTTTCGTAGTTCAGTCGGTAGATTAGTGGTTTGATGGTATGGAGACCACTACTAGTTTGAATCTAACTGCAGTCAAGGCTTTTATTTCATATTCAATTATCATCCCATGAAAATAAGTGTTTATTTGTCTTAAGATCTTTACCCGTATCGAGCTTCTATTAGATACATATTATTATTATTTGTCCCTTGGGTTCCTAGTGGAACATAGGGCTTCAGTAGCACGTCTCCATTCCACTCTCCTCTCTACAGTCTTTCCAACCTGCCTCCACGACTGCACAGAACCTCTCATTTATTCCCCATACGACCTCCTGCATGTCACCCTCACCTCGGACGCCCAACTCGGCGTTTCCCATCGGGGTTCCACTCGAGAGACTGGCCTGGCGTGTGATGTCTCCGAATGGTTTTCTCAGTGCATGCCCAATCGATCTCCACTTCCTGCTACTGCATATTTGTTTGGTGATAAGTTGTTGGTTGGTTCGTTGCCAGCCAGCCAGCCAGCCAGCCAGCCAGCCAGCCAGCCAGCCAGCCAGCCAGCCAGCCAGCCAGCCAGCCAGCCAGCCAGCCAGCCAGCCAGCCAGCCAGCCAGCCAGCCAGAGTTCCTTGTTCCTTGCTTATCCTTATTATTCTAGCCATCTGATCTTCAGTAACGAGCCAGCGTAGGGGGCAGTTGTTGATGAATGTCTGTAGTTTGTTGGAAATGCCTTTCGTAACGCACCAAGTCTCTCAAGCATCACATAGAAGGACTGACTTGACTGAATTAGTGTTGAAAAGCCGGATGTTGTTGACGCTTTATGCTGAGTGCAGAAGATCTGCACACTGGTTTCAGGTTAATGAACTCGTGTTTTGCTTTTCCGATGCTGACTGTTTTGACGTCGTCGTCTGTTCCGCCACGTGTATTTGAAAGGATGCTGCCCTGCCTAGATAGGTGAAAGAGACTACTTCCTTTAAGTGTCTCCTGTTGATGGTGATTGGAGTTTGTTGTTGTTGTTGTTGTTGTTGTTGGTGGTGGTGGTGGTGTCGGTGTCGGTTTGGTATCTTCATCACCTCTGTCTTCTCAACGTCCACTTGAAGTTTCGTCTTCACTAGCCTACCTCTTCTGTCAACTTGTTAGTTTTCAGCTTTAGATCTTCAAGTTTGTGTGACATTAGACATAAATGATCATCGGTGGCGATATTGAGATCTTCTAGGATGTTTTCACCATGGCAGCCAGCGTATGCTCCTCTTCTCACTCCTCACTGTTTGTTACATGATGCAATCCACTACAATCAGGAATATCATGGTTGATAGTTGGTGGCAGTCTTGTGTTACTCCTGTCTTCACTGTAAAGGCATCACTGAGTTTCCTATTGTGAAATACTTGGTATGTGGCGTCTTTTTGTTGTTGTTGAATGAGGTTGATAAAGGTTTGTGTTACTGTGTAGTGTTGAAGCAACTGCCAAATTACTTCTCAGTCTACGCTGTCAAAGGCCTTCTCATTATCGACGAACTGGAGGTTGAGTTGACTGCCATTCTATACTCTGTTGTGTGATGATGCTTAGGGTAGCATTATAATTTGATCCGCAGATGATTTGTATTTCCTGAATCCAACCTCTTCGGGTCGTAGTTTTGAATCCAGTGCATTCTTTAGTCTCTCCAGGATGATGCGACTTAGTATTTTGCTTGCTGTGGGTGGATAGGAGCACGATTCTTTGCCAGTTGTTGCAAAGACATAGGTCTCCCTTGTTTGGGAGTTTGACAAGGTAGTCATTCTTCCAATGAATGGGCAGGTACCTTTCCTTCCTTCGAAACCTTCCACAATAGTGGTGTGAGCATGTCCGCTGTTGTCACAAAAAGTCGCATGACACTGGATGTGATTATTGTCACATAGACTGACTAAAGAGTCTTATAAAATGAGTCGGTGTTGAAAATTTAGGTTTTAATTCACTACTTCTTTATGTCTATACGTTCTAACAATCCAGTTTTTAACAAGATGGCTAGTTACTACTATTTGTTCAACAACTACATTATCTTTCTGACTAGTCACCAGATTCACTGACTTTTCTAAGTGTGATATGTTCATTGTCTTTTCTTGATCGATAGAGGTTGTTATCAACCCTGATCAAATTTTGTAAGTACACATTCAGCTCTAATGATGGTTTGCAGTTTACTGGTCAAGTCTCTAACTTGAGTATTGAGTAACATAGATTTGAATCCCCGAGGGTATACCAGTTTTTCACATAGTTGTGAATATGTCCTGCTTTTGATTATCTATAAGTATGGAACTGTTGATCGAGCAAAGCTTCCTACTGGTTGATTCCCAACATTTACGATTCTCTGAGAAGTTCTTCATTGAAATATGTTTTAGACAGTCTGCTTCGATGTGACTAATCTATAATTGTGCATTGTTTATATTTTTGTTAGATTTTGCAGAGTGTTTTGTCTACGACCAACAACAACTCCGATGAACACAGTCCAACTTATCAATCACCATCATCAGCTACAAAACCAGATTATTATGAAAGAACGAATTCATTTTTATCCGATTCAGATGAAGCAAATTATTCATCCAATGAATGGGAAGATTACTTTTCAGGTAATACTTTACTGACTTGATATCAATATTTTCTTTTATATGCTGATTAGTACTAGTAGTTAGATTAGGTCCTCTCGTCATCTGACTACACAAAGGTTGATCTAATCGCAGGAGAATTTTCGTTAGACCTATAATATGCAGATGAAATAGTCCTATTAGGTGAAAACGATGACAACATACAGAATCTTCTGAACACTTCCAGTGGCAATTCGAGAATGTTTGGAAATGTTTGCATTTCTCACCACACAAATGTACATTGTTACTCCAGGATTGGTCTTCAACGGTGCCCCATTGTGGCTAACAATACACAGTGAAGTGGTGCAGTGTGTTGACCACTTCACTTACCTGAGAAGTAGGATCAACCCTGTCCTAGTGGCTCACTTGCCAATGAAATCTCTGCACGAATACAAAAGGCTCGATTGGCTTTTGCCAATTTACACCACCTGTGGAGCCACTGTGATATCCGACTGTCTATTAAGGTTGGTGTGTACTGCACAGCAGTCCACTCTGTTCTACTGTATAACTGTGAAACATGGCCACTGAAGGTGGAAGACATGAGAAGACTGGCTTCAGGTATTTGACCACCGTGGCCTTCGTAGTATAGGCTGTATTCCGTGGTGTCACCGAACCACGTGAGTAATGCAGAAGTCAGGAGTAGAGTTTTAGGGAGAGGAGGTAAATCAGTTGACGAGGTTATGAACCCTCATCGACTGAGATGGTTAGCTGGAACATGTGTTACGCATGCCTGCCTAGTCGCCGATTGCCTCGTCACACAATGTTGGCTGAAATAGGTGCAGACTGGAAGAATGTCCGAGGTGGCCACAATAAAACATGGCACCAATGCATGAAAAGTCTCTGACTGTTGGTTTCAGCCAATGTGCGGGGGTGATGCAGACTAGGTGGTTGAGGTGTGTGGGATAAGAGGAACCAGTGGTTGGAGATTCTAGGTGATCACATTGCTCAGAACCGATGTGAGTGGTGTAGATGTATATACACATTGTCTTCATATTAACGAAGTTTTACCGAATCTCACCACTTTCTCATGCTTCATTTCTCTCTTTTCGTACTTTATATTTCTTTTGACTGCGTTTTCTTATCTTTATCTTGGACGTTACTGCCTTTTTACTTGATGTGGTGATATGAGGTGTGGCAACTCGAACTGTTACTCAGTAATGCCTGGTCCTGTGTTGATTTGGATGGACGGATGAATGAGATTGAGAAAAGGGTTCAGGGTGGCCAAACCAAGACATGACACTTGTCGATGAAATCCCTGATTGTTGGTATGAGTTGTATCGGGAGATGTAGACTGTCTGACTGAGGGTTCCTGAGACTATGGGAATCAGTTGTGGAGGACTCTTAGTAGCATACCTGAAAATCGGTCACAATGGCTTAGATGTCATTCATTGTTTTGACGTCTTCTAAAGCTTGGGTGTATATGTACTGATCTTTATCTTCGGATTGCTTATTCTTTTACACAACTTTATCTACTATGACACTCCTTTTCTATTCATCTGTTGTTTATACGCTACTGTAAAGTGTGGCAACTTGAGCCGATGTACGAATGTGTGGTGTCCTACGTTGATTCTGTCTATCTGTCAGTAGTAGCTGTGAATGCAATGAATACGATACTTATAAGCATAGACATACTTCTCTTCAATAACTTTATTATCAAGGTATACAGTCGTATTTATAAGAGGTTGATTAGTCAGTATGTAGATGATAGGTTGGTTTAAATACACAAAATGTAAAAAGACTCACTGGATAAGGAAGGAAGAATTGTTTTCATAAAATGAAATCTAGATCAGATATTGTTGTACTGAGAAATGATTACCTAAAATTCAGTGATATTCGACATTGATACCGGGTTTCGTAGTCTTAAATGGACCTGTTAAGTTATAGGTACACATGGTCAAGCTTCTACGCCATTCGATACACTGTCGTATTATATTGTTGGTTGTTTGTTCCTGATCTCCTGTCCAACTAGCTCGTAGATCTTCGTATATTTACATGGTATGATAAATACATGATATATATGTGGCTACCATATTGTATTCTTTCATGGTCTCACAATCGTGGCTAACCGACAAGTAAAAACAGTTTGTGTATTGATCTTTGCATTTCTCCATATGAATTGAACAAATGGAAGTGACTGATAGAATAATGTGAAATACGAGAACTCTGCCAACCTAATTAAGATACGTGGACTGGATACGAATAGTGACTGTTCTCCTTCGGACCGCGAAAATTGGAAGGAAAAGATTGGCCTGTTACTTTACTGTAAGGAAGATAATTTTAGCTGATAGGAAGCATATCGTTGATATACAGTTTTTCTTCAGAAAATGAAGGTACTAGGTCTGAACTTGGACACTTATTCTGTTTATTTAATACGATTGTAAAGTAATTTGTATGAACTATGATCAAGATTTGATTGTATAGTATGGCATATATTGAGGGCTAAGTAAAAGGTTGACATTAGATGTAGATTGTATTTGTATAGGTCACAGCGGGTTTGAAATCAAATAATCTCAGTGTTTCGCACGGAAGTCTTATCCGAGCTTCTTCAGGGGAAAAAGAGTTTATCCAATAACGTTTATCCTGATCACACTGTAACAGGAAACCAAGGTTGGAATCGAAATTGTCTAACTTGGTGGCTGATGATTTGCAGTGTTGATTTCGTTTTAGGTCACTTCCTATCACCATGTCGCATGTGACAACTTATGAGTTGTCAAGAAGTGTGAGTTAGTACTAAAAACGATCACAGGGAAATATACAAAGTGAAGTAGAATGAAACTGATCGAAAAAAGATATTTTCACGGAAGAAGTAGGGGGAAACGTCCGACTAAAGGCTTTTGAATACAGAGTTTGGGCCTTGATTGTATAGATCACAGCTAGTTAGCATCAACGTGGAAAATAGTATCACTTTATTGTGTTCCAAAGTGATACACCTCATACCAGCACATCATGTAACAATACGACAAGCTGAAAGATAGAGGATAAAAAGTCGTGAAACGGAAAAAAGAAGGATGATATACAATATGATTATAAAGGTGAATATAACATGGACGGATACATCTATGCTGTTGTCATGGATTCTGAGTGATACAACTTAGTCTGAAATCACTTATTTTCCTTCATCAAAGGAACCCCAACTGGAAAGTCCACATTCCTCTACATGGGTCAGACCAACATTCAAAGACTCTGGGGGACTGTTTTGCCTATCTTTAACCTTTTCACAGCTAGAACCTACTTAGGTTAGCTATGTACAATGAGGCAGATGACAACTAGGTATGCATAAAACATGTCCTAGAAAACTGAGCCAATGAGGACTCGCATTCCCTAATCAATTGATCTTCTTTTTCTGCCTTAAACTCTCCTCACAACTTCTAATTTCATGACTTAGTGGTACCACATCACTTGAGCCTATCGTATGAAGGCAATGATGGTCGGACATCTGAAGCCTTCCTATTCACTCTGCCCTTATTTATATGCATAATTTCTTAAAAGAACTTAGTACAAAGTAGACATCATTAGTTGGACTGTGCAAAACAATAAAGCAACACTATGAAGATATGAAAAACTGCGAAGAGATTGTACAGAAAAGAAAAGATCATGAAGAAAACATGAATTAGTTATTAGAGAAGCAGTCTCAAACATGAAACCACCCTAACAATCGGTGACATAACCAATTACGGTTCTTTATTTTATGAAAAACTAACTTCGCGGTCGAAATATTAAAATCTGATTGGTTATTTCGGCAGTTGTTAGAGTGACCTTTAAAATCACTCTTCTTCTCATTCATTGACATACCGAGTAGGCCATCTTCGTTTTTGAGGTCTTGTACATTAGTTTCTTGCTACATACAATATAGTTGTGCGATGCGTGGGCTAGCAACCTACTTTCATCCCTCTGAGTCAGCTGGTGTGGCGTTAGTGACTGTAGGACCAGCATTGGGCATTTTCCTCACCCCGTTTATCACAGTAGCAAATGCAAACCGAGGTCCAGACCAGTAACAACGATCCAACCATCAAGACAGAGATATAACTTAGGAAAAGGAAGAAAGCTGCAGCATGACTGACACTGGATTCTATTCAGACCGATCTCTAATATCGTTTCAAGTTAATGAGTTGCATGATTTCCTGAACCTCAACCACAGGGTTGAGAGGCATCTACAGATGCTATCCTAACGCAACTACCCTTTTTTAGCAACACTACATCAAAAACACTGACTACCTCTTCTCTTCTTCCAACTAGTCCTAGATTAAGCGGACAGTCAGCGGTGAGAGAGCCTCTTGAATGACATTCGTTACACATGTCCAAGCCACCGCAGTCCTTGTTTCGAACTAATCACACTCAGTGGATGACTATATTGATCAAAACCGATCACAAATCTTCTTACCTGGAAATTACTAACTTGTTGTTCCCAGTGAATGCGAGAAGCTCTGTGGATACAACTGTAGTCAAAAACATAGAGTCATCAAACATTCTCATCTTCGAGGAGTTAACTTTCATATGAATCGAGCAACAGCCTTGCTTATTCTCAAACTCTTCTTGCAGGAAAATCCCTGTCGATTTTCCATTGTCAATCAATCCAATATCTAAACTTCTTTTTGCATATCTTTCCTCGAAACTTCAGAGTATGTTGATTAGTTGTGAAGAATTTCAAAGATTTTGAGTTTCTTTGGAACATCTAGACATCATTATTGTACAACATAACAGAATACGTCTCCACTTGAGTTATCAAATTAGATTCAAGTCACAACATGGAGAGTTTCCTACTAATAATTCCTAACTTCTTGAAGACCTTAACCAAGTGAATTATATCTCTTCAGATGATTCAGAACCATAGCAACCACATGGTTTGGTACGGCTATTACTTTGGTTCTCCTTGACTTCGTTCAAACGTGATCCTCATCCAACCATCGTAGCATGTCAGCACTGATGTTGACTGGTTACATAACCCATATCGTTATAACTTTATTTGGTACAGGTTCGCAACCCTATAAACTAACTTACCTTAGACGGTTACGACCAACAACACCCAGTCATCTTCCACATGAAACGCAATGTCTGATATGCTGCTCAGTAATATCGCCGTCTCTAGTGACGACATACGTGAGCCCTGCTGAAGAGTCCTATACTAGGATGAAATAGCTCTCCGGTGCTCCAGCACTTTCAATGGTTCTCCAACTGGCATCAGTTCATGATATATACCGATCAGAAATTCAGTTAGTTTGATTAAGACATTATGCTTAACAAGACTGACCTTAAATGCCAGCTGGAGGCATACAAATGAATGATCAGTACTCTATGTTTATTCGTTAGGTATAAATAAGTATGATTGAAGAGACATTTTCAGTTAAGAAGATGTATTTTGCTCTATGAATAGTGGCGGAAGGCCATTTCTACATCTGAGAATTTTGCATCTTTTGTATACCAACGTTATATATATGTTAGGTGGTGATTAGAGGTCAACTTAAACTTTTGGCCGCAGCACAATTCGAACGAGCGACTACCGGATTTCTGGCCCAGTGCTCTCCCAACTGAGCTACTGGACTGCTGACCAGGTTTCTATTTCCCTTCAAATCGTCAAAGGTTTCGCATGACTGCTAGTTGAATTCATTATGCGTTGCTATTGCTTGATCATACTCACACAGGCTGTTCCATCAGTGAGGACTTCCCATCACATTCGAAATCAGCTTGAATTATAGATGGGCTATCTGTGATAGTCAAACTGATAATCATTTTGGTGCTCCCCCCTCTCTAATTGAAGTAGATTTGGTGTGAGATAATGGCCAGTAGTTGGGTCTCGTATCTCAGTTGGTAAAGCACCGAACCAGTAACCCGGAGGTCTCTGGTTCGAATCTTTTCGCGGTCTGGATTTTCATTTCACCTTCAATCATCACCAAGTTTCAATACAAGTCTACCAGACCACGGCTGCTATCTCAGATAGTCAAGCTAATCATATATATGTATCCCAATTGTTCATAGTTGCTTTCAATCTATTTATCTGAGTACTACTCGGATCGTTATCTTATGAATCTTTTAATGTACTTGTAATTTCTTGTTGCTATACAGGGCCGAATCACTCGACCTCTGTTGGCAGATAGACTTGTATGCGGATGCCTCAATACTGCTGATTATTCTTGGTGTTATATTGATCTTGATGACTAGCGGCGGAATCCAGGAACCGCGTTTCGTCATCTGGGTGTACCTACACCCCAGTGAGTGATGCTGTTCGCACTCTGGCTCGAACCCAGGAAATCACAAGTATCATTACACCAACTAAAACCCTTTGCACAAGAGGTGACCATCATACCTCAGTAGCTTAGTGGATAACGCTCTGACATTTGGAACGAAGGGCAGTGGGTTCGGGCCTGGATGGGAACAACATTACTCACTAGAATGTAGGTACATCCAGCTTACGAGGCCCAAATAGAACGAAATGTGCATCCTTGATTCCTCTATTAGACATCAAGATCAATATTTCAGTAAACTTGTATATTTTTAAAATTTTCTCTTACAGGTTTTTCTGATAGATCATACAAATCTCATCTTGACAGTATCAGAGATGAATATGAATATCGTAATCGAACTATTGGTTTTTCAAAGAAAACAAAATTAAAACAACCAACTAATAAACTGAAAACTGAACAATCTCATCATTTCTCATCAATTAATGAATTATCAAATGAAAAATTATTTAATCATAAATTAAATAATAATTTTATCATCAATAATTCATATAAAGTATATTTAAAAAAATGGAAAGAGTTTATCAACTCTGATCAAACAATAATTCTTAATTATAATGATATATTATGGCCACCATTCATTAAAGTTAATGAAATGAATTTATTAGAATCAACAATTATTGATAATATTTTAAGATTTGTTGAATATTCAACTAAATCATTACGTCAATTACAAGTGGATTGGCATCCAGATAAATTTGCTGGACGTTTTGGGAAACGTTTTAAATCGGAACATGTTAAAAATAGAGTTATGAAACGTGTATTATATATATCACAACTTTTGAATAAAGCTACTGATTATTTACGTGATGAGAAAAAAAAAAGATAGTTAAATGATCATATATTTACTGTTCATTATTATTATTATCATTATTATTATTATTATTTATCCTTTGGGTTTCTAGTGAAAGATAGGGCTTTAGTAACACGTCACCATTTCACTTTGTTCTCTGCAGTCTTTACAAACTGGCTCCACAACTTCCCACAAGCTTTCATTTCTTCCTCACATGATCTCCTCCGTGTCACCCTCGGCTTAGACGCCCAACTCGTCGTTTCCCATTTGGCTTTCACTCCAGGAGTTGGCTTGGCGCGTGATGTCTCCGAATGGTTTTCTCAGTGTCTGTCCAATCCATCTCCACTATCTTCTTCTGCATGTTTGTTGGGTGATAGGTTGTTGGTTGATTCTTTGCCAGTCAGAGTGAATTCCTTGTTGCTTGCTTATTCTTACTATTCTGGCTATCCATCTGATCTTCAGTGTCAGTATCGAGTGAGCGTAGACGGCAGCTGTTGATGTGACGTATGTCTGTAGTTTGTTGGAAATGCTTTTCGTAAAGCGCTAAGTCTCTCAAGCATCACATAGAAGCCCTGACTTGACTGATGTTAGTGTTGAAAATCCGGGTGTTGTTCACGTTTTATGCTGAGTGCAATGGAGTGGAGTGGAGTGCAGTAGATCTCCACACTGATTATTCTAGATTAATGAAGGCCTGTCTTGGTGTATTTCGATCCTGGCTTTGACATTCTCATCTGTGCCTATGCCGCCTGTAGTTGAGAGAATGCTGCCTAGGCAGGTGAAGGAGACAGTTTCCTTCAGATTCCTCCCGTTAATGGTGATTGGTACTTGTTATTGTTGGTTGGGTATTTTTATCGCCTCTGTCTTCTTTACATTCACTTGAAGTCCCGTCTTCGCTGCCTCTTCTGTCAAGTTGTTGGTTTTTGCCTGTTGATCTTCGAGTTTGTGCGACATTAGACATAAATCATCATCGGCGGCGAAATCGAAATCTTCTAAGGTCTTTTCATCGGTCAAACAGCGTATGCCCTACTTCTCGCTCCTCACGGGTAGATGCATGGTCCAGCCGACCGCAATGAGGAAGATCATGGGTGATAGTTGGCGGCAGTCTTGTCTTACTTCTGTCCCTTGTCTTCACTTCAAAGGCGTCACTGAACTTTCTATTGTGTATCACTTGGCATGTGTCGTCGTTATTATAGTTGTTGAATGAGTTTGATAAAGATTTGTGGCAGTAAAAGCGTAGTGTTGAAGCAGCTGCCTGGCTAATTACTTCTCGGTCTACGCTGTCGAAGGCCTTCTCAACATCGACAACTTGGAGGTTGAGTTGACTGCTATTCTATGCTCTGTTGTATGATGATGGGTAGCGTTGCAATTTGGTCCGCACATGATTTGTACTTCCTGAATCCAACCTCTTCGGGTCGTAGTTTTGAATCCAGTGCATTCTTTAGTCTCTCCAGGATGATGCGGCTTAATATTTTGCTTGCTGTGGGTGGATAGGAGCATGATTCCTTGTCAGTTCTTGCAAAGACATAGGTCTCCCTTGTTTGGGAGTTTGACAAGGTAGTCATTCTTCCAATGAATGGGCAGGTACCTTTTCTTCCTTCGAAACCTTCTCCAATAGTGGTGTGAGTATGTCCGCTGTTGTCTCTGCGTCTATTTTCAGTGCTTCTGGCGGAATTCCATCTTATCCTACTGCTTTCCCGCATTTCAGCAGTTTTATATCATTCAGGAGTTCACTTCTACTTTTGTCGGAGGGCTTGTGTTCACTGGCAGTTCCGTAAATTCAGTGTTATTATTGTTATTTTGCTGGCAAAAACCATTCAATCGCAGCTTGATTTGAATATCTATAAACTTGATATCTAAGGTTACAGTTTTTTGGTAATCCTAAGACAATTATTGTTATTTGATCAATATACCAACTCTCTGATATTTCAGAAAACGATATTCAGGTACAACTTAAATCTTTTAAACCGTAAGGGTTCTAAGTTAAATTCTTTGTATGTGTCTATTTTTTTATTACGAATACTACTACTAATAATAATGGTTGCTGAATATACGAATATACACCGTTTTTTCAGGTGTAAATAAATTTCTATGTAAATTACATGTTTCATTATGGCAGGTGATCTCAATTGCTAGCTATTCTGACACTAGAGAATATAAGTGTTACATGTTTATATTGATGAAATGTCTGAGCAGAATAAATATGCACAAATTGACATGATGGATAATTTGAAGTATCATTCATCTTCACATTAACAAGAAAAGAACAGGGTTTGTATCTAACCATTTAATGTATTAGCTAGAGAAAGATATAAGCTTGAAGTTAATGCTTCGATTGTGACACCTCGTACAATGATGAAAAGCTTAAGAGGGAATATATACGCATCTTGTTTGTTATTTATTGTACTTTATTGATTACAGAACTGTGTATTTCATGTATTCTCATACCAGTTCATATCAAAGATTAATATTCTTGATGAGTATTACGATTATGAACGAATTATCTGAATTTTTGTACTTCACCATCAGATAAAGTTCCAGAAAACCATGTCCACCATTTTTATGGGTCTTGACAACATTGTGGTTGGTTGGTTATTATGACAATTTTCTTGATCACTTTCATAATCAGTAAATTCCAGGTTTTGATAATTATTAAATCTCCGTTACACTCGTACCAGTTTACGCTTATCTTTTATTGAAACACTATCAATAACATGCGAACTGGGCTGAAGCAAAGGATGAATGCATGATTTGTATGAAAAAGGGACTTAAGGATTTTCTTGACCTTAGGAAATCTACGAATCAACTAACTCTGTAAAGTTAAAATGCATTAAGTATTTCAAGGCTGAGTCTGCAATAAATAGAAGGATAGGATCTAGTTTGCTGTTTGTGATGACCAGAGATCCAAGTGGGTTTAAGCTTCGCTGTTTATGTATGACATCAGTACTGAAGTCTATTTACATTCTCTTGAACTTTCACCAGAGTACTTAGTAGATTGGAGTCGGGTAGGTTACAGACTCTTTTAATGCAATAGGTTAGTAACAAGGGTTTATCGTATAGTATAATCTCGCATATGTTATTTAGCTGTGAAAGGAATTATCGTGATCCCACTACCCTGCCTTGTATCATTCCATTAGGGAATAGGAGTGGCTATTTGTTAACGACTGGTGAGGAATGATCCCAACCATTATAGAATACGAGCTTTCCTGTTCATTTTATGCCTCTCTAGATATGAACACGTATTATTATCATTATTATTAGTCCCTTGGGTTCCTAGTGGAACATAGGGCTTCAGTAGCACGCCTCCAGTGATCTCTGTTCTCTGAGATCTTTTGAACCTGGTCCCACGACAGCCCAGAAGCTCTCATTTCCTCCTCACACGATCTCCTCCATGTCACCCTTGGACGTCCAACTCGTCGCTTCCCATGGGGGTTCCACTCGAGGGCCTGACGCGTGATGTCCCCAGTCGGCCTTCTCAGTGCATGGCCAATCCATCTTCACTTCTTCCTGCATATTTGTTGCGTGATAGGTTGTTGGTTGGTTCGTTCCCAGAGCTCCTTGTTGCTTATTCTTTCTGGCCATCTGATCTAATCTTCATTGTCGAGCGTAGGGGGCAGTTGTTGATGAATGTCTGTAGTTTATTGGAAATGCCTTTCGTGACGCGCCAAGTCTCTGAACCATACAAGAGCACTGACTTGACGTTGGTGTTGAAAATCCGTATCTTGTTCCGCATGCTGAGTGCAGAAGATCTCCAAACTGGTTTCAGGCTAATGAACGCCTGTCTTGCTTTTCCGATTCTGACTTTGACGTCCTCGTCCGTCCCACCTGTAGTTGAAACAGTGCTTCCTAGATAGGTGAAGGAGGTTACTTCCTTTAAGTTTCTCCCGTTGACGGTGATTGGAGTTTGTTGTTGTTGCTGATGGTGGTGGTGCGGTATCTTCATCACTTCTGTCTTCTCTATATTCACCTGAAGTCCCGTCTTCGCTGCCTCTTCTATCAACTTGTTAGTTTTTGCCTGCAGATCTTCAAGTTTATGTGACATTAGGCACAAGTCATCGGCGAAATCCAAGTCTTCTAGGTTCTTTTCCGCAGTCCAGTGTATCCCCCGCTTCTTGCTGCCCACTGTTTGCTGCATGATCCAGTCCACCACAATCAGGACTATCATGGGGGATAGTAGGCAACCTTGTTTCACTCCTGTCTTCACTTCAAAAGCATCACTGAGCTTCCCATTGTGAATTACTTGGCATGTGGCATCTTCATATAGTTGTTGAATGAGGCGGATAAAGGTTTGCGGTACTCCGTAGTATTGAAGCAGTTTCCAAATTACTTCTCGGTCGACGCTGTCAAAGGCCTTCTCAAAGTCGATGAAGTTGAGGTAGAGAGCTGATTGCCATTCTATGCTCTGTTCTATGATGATGCGAAGCGTTGCAATTTGGTCAGCACATGATTTGTACTTCCTGAAGCCTGTCTGTTCCGGTCGCAGTTTTGAATCCAGTGCATCTTTAAGCCTCTCCAGGATGATGCGGCTTAATATTTTGCTTGCTCTGGGTGGACAGGAGAGTGATTCCGCGCCAGTTCTTGCAAGCACTGAGGTCTCCCTTCTTCGGCAGTTTGACAAGGTAACCCTTCTTCCAATCAACTGGCAGGTACCTTCTCTTCCTTCCACACCTTCTGCAATAGTGGTGTGAGCATGTCCGCTGTTGTCTCTGCATCTGTTCTCAGTGCTTCTGGCGGTATTCCATCTGGTCCTGCTGCTTTCCCGCATTTCAGTGGCTTTATGGCATTCAGGACTTCCATTTTCGTTGGGGGATTTATGTTCACTTGTAATTCAGCGGCTGGGCTGCAGGTGGTATTTCTGGACGAAGTGCGGGTGGTGGTGGTGGTTGATTCAAGAGCTTCTTGAAGTGGTCGGCCCATCGTTTCCTTTGTTTCTCTTCTTTCGTAATTAAATTTCCTTCTTCATCTTTTATTGGTTTCATCTGTGTTGGTCTCTTCCCTGATAGCAACCTGGTTATTTGATACAATGTCGTCAGGTCTCT